CAAGTTACGACAACGAGGTCAACGAGGACAACGAAAGCTCAGCCCGTTTTCACCCGAAACGAGGGAGAAAATCTCGTGGGCTGCGTCAACATGAACATCGAGATTCATCCGTCCTCATCTGGTGAGATCGACCAACGAATCTCTTCTTCATGCACTTTCATACGAAATAAAAGTCCCCCCGACAATGTGTACAATCAAATAGCAATGAACATCTTTGTTTCTTCTGTTGTTTTCTTTTACGAGCAGCTCTGGTTAATAATACTTCTTCAAACCTTCTTTCCTAAATTTTCCCCAGAGCCATTACCAAGTGTCGTGCCAATAGACCCTTCTTCAGGGGCTAACGCTAGACGATTTCCACATACGGCACCACCAAAACGCACGGGACGCCGAGATGCATACCAGCGCCAGCCAGACACAGGCGAAAGGTTGCTTGGACGAAGTGATCCAGATTCGAACGCATCCAACCTCGAAGGTGAGTACAGCCCGTAGGCAAGTTTTTTATTTTATATTTTATATAAAGCATCAGGGAAACAACCGGCCTCTGGCTTCCGCATTGTGAATTAAAGGAACCTTGAGATAGCTTTGTATTTTCCACCCTCAGCTTAGATCCTATCACCTGATTTCCAACTGGGGCAGAGAAGGAGACAGTAATAAAATTTATTATTCCAATTTATTGGCTGAGTAATGCCCTCTCGGATGGTTGGACTCGTACTTAAGCCAAATGAGGTGCAAACGGTTTTGGCAAATAGACGAATTAGTTATTTTTATAATTGGTGAGTTTCTAAATATTTAATGATAAAAGAGGCTATCCTAGGTTGCTAGGATAGTCTAATTTTCCCACAATGAAATGAATAGGCCTCATGTGGTCATTGACCTTTATTTAATTTTCCTATCAGAAGGTATTTTCTACAGGACTGAACTGCACACTTTGCCTAATCAACGTCCCCAATATTACTCGAATATGGGTTGTGAGCGTAAATTGACATGTTATAGCTAAGAATGGAAAATTCAACAATATGCCGTCAATGGTAACAACAGTTCTTAATGAAGAACTGGTTACCAGTCTTAGGTTGACTGTGATGATAAAGATATTCGAGATGGCAAGCCGTCCTGTCCTAATGGGTTCGATAAAATAGCCAAATTTCTGCTAACTTGCCAGAATTATTAGCTATGTAGGGTATTGTAGACATTATGTAATAGAGATGTGAACGCTACCTTTCAATAGACTGACAGTCCACATATTGACACGCCTTTGCAGAATAAACTTAATAACAATCAAAAATGAAACTCAGTCAAATAAGTCAAAACTAAGTCAAGGCTAATTAAAGACATGAAGACCAAGATGGTGTGGTCGCAGTCTCCTTTCGATTTATAAAAGTGGGTTGACCTCATCTTAACTTGGTCTTGTTGTCAGGGGGACTTATTAAAACGCACCTAATCCGAAGTCGCCTGCCATAGTAGTTGTCATGATTCCCAGCATCAGACCGTGGACTTATCGTAATCTGTAACCGTTTTCGGCAGAACGTTTGTCGAGGGATTGACTTCACTTGTCTGTTTGACGAGTTCGTAGCTTGGTCCAGAGAATGGCAAAATCCTCTGATGACGCCGACTACGATGCCGGTGAAACATTTGAGAATCTACCAAGTCCACGGTCTGATGCTGGCAATTATGACAACTACTATGGCAGACGACTTCGGGCTAGATGCGTTCTACTAAGTCGCCCTGACAGCAAGACCAAGTTGCGACAACGAGGTCAACCCATTTCTAAGTCAAAGATAATTCTCTACTTTGTGCGTTGACAGTAACGTTAAGGCTTTTTGAAAAGTTTTAAATACATATACAATAATGCAACCGCTAGTTATACTAATTCCAATTCATATAAAAACGATCAAACTTAGAGAGATGTAAAAATGAAAGTTGAGAAGCTTGAAGTTACTCTTTAGAGCTTCCTAATGTTTTAATATTAATATTTAGTCCCCCAAATAGATTCGATTCAATCCAATTCGGTTAAAATCGGACATAATGATTAGTGTATATGGTCTCTATGATAGAGATAAGGAGAGGGATCTCTTGGTTCCTTAAAACATATCAACACCTTTTCATTTTTGGCGTCATTTGGTGGGATAGACCATCACCAAACACTTACACTATAATTAAAAGTAAACTCAACAATTATAATTTGTGTCGGCAATTCTTTCGCTTTTTCCATAAGTTCATATGTTGAATTACTTTTGCAAGTACAAACCAGAGCTCAACCTTTGGATGTTTCATCACATGTTTTTTAATGTTAATAGTTTAAACTAGACTGAGAGACAGTATATTATAGGTTTTTATAGTAGATAGAATGCAGAAGAGATATTCCATTTGTCCGATTCCAGGACTATTAGCTCTTTTATGCGAACAAAGTTCAGTTTTCGTGGAATCTTTTTTCTATAATTTTTAAGCAGAAATGTTTGATAACAAGACTCGAAGGTCAATTCCACTTGACCAGCCGTTGCTTGGATTTACTGAAACATCCTTCAACTAATGTGAAGATGGCTGGGCTTTATTATATCATATAGCACACATCATAATATCAGGAAATCAATCCTACAACAAGTCCAATAATGTGAGACAAGAACACTCATTAGCTTATATGTTATGTTATATGTAATCTGGTACTATCCATTTTTAAGGTATAGTATGATTCGTTTTGCACTTGTCATGCTTCGTTTCAGCACATTTGTGTGTTTGTGAATCCGTACATATATGTATATTCACATTGGCGTAGGTGTACGAAGCCAAACGCTTCAGAA